GTGTATTTGCATGTGTGTGTGTCTCTCTGTATGTGTGTGCATGTGAGTGCGGCACACACAGAGACCAGAAGATGGAGTAAAACTTTCTAGAGATGGTTGTGAGCTGTTCAATATGAGAACGTGTGAGAACTTGCAACAGAACTCATATCCTCTGTGAGGACAATGCTTGTTCTTAAGTGAGCCACCTCGTCAGCCTCTAGAAAGCATATGAGTATATTTGTACATGTTGCCTTTTCATGATTGGAGTCATTTTCACATGACAAGCATCTGAAGGGGTATCTATGTCACCCAATATTAACTGATGATATCTATCAATTATACAGTACACTGATGTTTTCATTTTTGTTGCATAGCTTAAAGTGTGCACGCTGATATTCTTGATGTATGGATATGTAGAGACATGGTTACCACAGTCAAGCAAATGAGGGCACTGTCATCTCATGTAGCTGATAAATTTCCAGCTTATAAAACAATATTATTAGCTAAAGGTCTTATGCTCTGTGCTAGATCTTTAACTTATTCATGCCACATAACACATGCCTTTTGAACTACTTTTACATATCCCCTCCTGACTCCCTGTCTAGCCCTAGTTTGTTTTGTTGCTTATTTTCTCAGATTTCTTATTTAGGTAAGATTTATAGTGCTTTACTACTTGAATTATTTTCTTATCATAAAGTCCTCTAGATTCACAAGGCCACATATGATAGGCTCTCCTCTCTTGGTTGTAGAGTCTATATACTAAGATGCCTTTGTTAATTCCTCTGCTGATTCATGCTTCAGCTATTTTCCACATCTTGGATTGTCGTGAGCCAGAGGCAATGATGGGCATGTAAGCATCTCTGTATTCCACTTCCTTGGGGGTGTACAGCCTACATTGCAAGACATAATATCAGTTGACTTGGGTTTAATAAGAATATGCATGGCATGTCAATACTCTGAACCTCTTCTAACTTGGGTTCCTGTTTTCTAATACTAGTTATGCATGTTTTTTCTAGTGTCTACCTCAATTACTTTTCTAATAGCTGCTATTGATAATTGTTTTCAAAAATAAGGAGAAACCCTTATTTTTGTATTAATGTTACATGCCTTTAACATGCTTACTGTTTTGAGTTGCATAACAAAATGTGACATTTTGTATCAACTTACAGTTTTATTTTTTCTAAGAACAAAAATGTGTAGCTCTTATACATAAATGTGAAATTATGTTAACACAGTACAAAATCTTTAAATCAACTACAACCAGGTGTAGTGGCACTTGTGAGACAGAAGTAGGCAGATCTCTAAGAATTTGATGCCAGCCTGGTCAGCATAGCAGGTCCCAGGCCAAGCAGGGATACATAAGAAGAACCAGCCTCAAAAAAGAAATCAACCGCAAAGTCATTGCCTCTAAACACCACCTCCCTTCATCACTTAAGCCAGCAGGGAAGGGAAAATTTGGTCGTGTCCATATGTTTTTCTTTTTAAGATTTATTTATTTACTATGTATACAATGTTCTCCTTGCATGTATGCCTGTAAGCCAGAAGAGGACACCAGATCTCATTACCGATGGTTGTGAGCCACCATGTGGTTGCTGAATTGACCTTGGGACCTCTGGAAACACTGAGCCATCTCTCCAGCCCTCTCCATTTGCTCTTGAATGACCTAGATTTAGATATACACAGACACATGACAGATCAGTGAACCTGAGCTCCAGCTGTCATCCTCCTCTATAAGGCAGCTATGAGTGGTACTTCCCCTCAAAACTCCACAGCTACATTCTATTCTAGAGAATGCAGCAAAGAGTAACTGCTTGTTCATGATTGGTCCAGAGTATCTGATTTGCCAGCTATGTGCCCAGTGTTCTTTGGAATTGAGCCCTGGAAGCTATTTTTCCGATCAACCCCAAGTCTCCTGTTACAAAAGAGCAAGCAACATTTGCTCATGATAAAGACCAGTTCCAGCCATTATAAATCTTATCAATTGCTTTGTGAAGGTTCATGGAGAAAAAGAAAAATCATTTCATTGTGTTCACTTAACCTTGGGGCTGAATTAAGACAGACTCTAATGATTGTGTCTGGGACTTCTAGGATGTACAGAGATCAAAGTCTGAATAAGTTAGGAATTTCAGCTCACTCTTATCATAATTCTTTTGATTAAGGACAATTAGACTCAGAATAAATCCAATAGCAATTCAATTAGAAACAGCACCCCTTTTTTCTTCATTTGTCTTACATCCACAAGGAACCTTAATAAATATGTCTGGTTAGTATCTGAAGTAATTTACATGCACACACTTATATAATGACTGGAGGCTCATGCAAGATACTACCCATTGCACAATACAATGCATACTTCATACAATCCCAGTTCATTGCTCAAGAAAAGGGATGCTCATCCTAGAATTTTTAGCAGAAATGTGGAAGCTGAGGAGTTTAAAGAACTCACTACTCTTAAAGGCCCAGATTCAGTTCCCAGCAGTCCCATGGCAGATTACAACCATCTGCAACTCCAATTCCAGGGGACCCAGTAAGTTCTGACCTGTGAAGGCACTGGGCATGCACATACCACACCCACAACACACATAAAATTAAAATAAACTTTAAAATCTTTTTTAAAAATATAAAGTAAAATACAAATAATTTTGTCTAAAGAGGAGAAGCGACATATAACCATTTTCCTACAGGCTAACACACAAACTGCACAGACAGTGTTTCCGTTTTAACAGGTATCTCCTTGGCATCGGTTTTGCAGTAGTGTGCATCTAAAGACTCAGAGGATCAAACATTGTGCTGGCCATGAGCCAGGGCTGGCTACAAACCCTGCACACTCTTCTTAACTCATGCTGTACCGTGTGAAAGTCGAAAGTGTGGGACGGAGATGGCTGCTCTCTGTGCCAGGAAGTTATTTCCTTCTATTTATGTATGAAATGGTTTATGAATTTTATAAATTTCAGTACACCATGGACACACAAGGAATGGTTCTTGAGACTGTTGTGTGATGGTGTATATTTTCAACTATGGAAACAAGATGGCAAATTGGAGATGCTCCCGTTTTGCCTGTACTTTCTCTAGCTAACTTTGAGGCTACCGAATAAAGTACGTTTCCTTCTCCTTTTCATCCTGTATGGATTTTTGTTTAGGCATTTAGGAATGGAGTTAGGTGAAACAGCAAGATGTTGGCAGGATCACTAACATATATAGGCTTCAAAATACGGGTGGAATAAATTCATACTGTAGAAAGCAGTCAAGCAGGTCTTCCCTTGTGATTTCTTAAAGTAATCTTGCACTAGATGTAGAAGAAAACAAAAACAAAGCAAAAAGATTTAAAGTCAAAGAAGTTAGAAAGCTGTCCCCTGGGGGCAAGCATTTGCCATGGCGTATGTCTTGAAATGTCCCTATGAGTCCCAAGGAGCAGCTGCAGCCACACCACCACCATGAGCCTAGCCAGCTGACAGTTGCAGAGAGTTGGCAGTGCTGCACCCTGTGGCACATCCACCCACCACAGTTACAGTGCTTTTCCCAGGTCTTTGCAGAGGCTGGACGGCCTATCATGTTACATGTAGTTACATGGTTTCAGTCACAGACATTTGGATCCCAGTGACCAACAGATGAGTGCTACGCACAGGTCATCTGTGTTGCCCAAGACACTTGCCCATTCCTAATGCTTGCCAGGCTCTGTTTGGTGAGTCTTGTCTTCCCCATGGCTTTTCTGTTCAGCCAATGGGCTGGTGTGCCTGTTTGTTTGCTTTTTATCAACTTGGCACATGCTAGAGTCATGGCGGAAGAAGAAATGTCAACTGGGGAATTTTCACTGTTAGATTGACTTGTAGGCAAATCTGTGGGTCATTTTCTTGATCAAGGGTTGATATAGAAGGGCCTTACTCTTGTGGGCAGTGCCATCCCAGAACAGTTGGCATTGGGTTGAATAAGAACGAGGCAGAGCAAGCCATGGGGAATAATTCAGTAAGCAGCACTCCTCCATGGCCCCTGCCATGGGGAACAATTCAGTAAGCAGCACTCCTCCATGGCCCCTGCCTCCAGGTTTCTGCTTGAGTTCCTGCCTTGAGTCCCTCAAAACAGACTCAGATCAGGTCAAGTGAGCCAAATCAACCCCTTCCTCACCAGACTGGTGTGGTCCATAGTGTTTATCATAGTACTAAGGAAGCAAAATCAGACACTTAGTTTATGACTACACACACACACACACACACACACACACACACACACACACACTTTTTTCCCTGTCTGCTAAAGTTTTAAAAGGCAATCCTGAAAACAGAAGACTTTCTGGGAAAACGAAGTGTTTCTTCCCTGTTCTCCTCCTACAGCTTGGAGTGTAGAACAAAAGCCAACTGAAGTCAGTTCCTCCCAATTCTTATAAGCATTTATTTTGTTTCTTAGGAACCACACTGCTTAGCAAGTTATCTTCAGGACACCATGAAGTGGCTTTTGTGACTCTTTTCTTTCTCTAGTGAGTCCAAACAAGGTTTATTCAACGTTTGATAATAGTTCTGCTCTCTTGCTCTTTTCCTAGTCATGTTGGGTAAAATGATAAACGGAGAGAAAAAACATAAACGTTGAGCCTCAACAGAAATATTTCTAATGTCTCAACATAGTGACTAGATTTTCCTCAAACTGAAATTAAAGCCCAGGAAAGTTCCTTGTTTGCTTTGTGTATCCCTAGGAAGCTGTTTGCCAAGCTCTGGCTGCCTGGCTCTCTGCCTCCAGGAATGCCAATCAGAGGACATTCTTTTCCAGGCAGCCAAGTTTGGAAGTCAGTTGGTTTCTGGTCGTGAGGAGGGCGGGGGTGATGGCAGGGGGAGCCAGCGAGTCCTCAGCTGATCTTCAGCTTGCAAAGGTTTCTGGAATAGCCTTCAATGAAAGTGGCTCCTTTTACCCAGGAGGACACAGGTAAAAGGACAGCTGAGTAAATCAGCTTTAGAAGAAGTGGGCGGAAGCTCCCTGGGAGGGAGGGGCGGAGGGAGACCTTTGAAAGCCTGCCATTGGTGCGTTTACCAAAGGCATCTGCCAGTGGGACTTCAGTGGAATGTGAAACCAAATCTTTTTCAAGTTAAAGATAGGCACCGGGGACGCCAGAATCTGGAAGCCGGGTTTTTAAACCCCCCGTCTCTCCCTGGAATTTCAGAGTTGGTTATGGTCTCGGGAGCTAATTAGCAATTTGGCTAAAATCTGTTCTTCCCATGGGCGCACCAGCAATCGCGGTGTGCACTGGGTGAACTGACACTAACAGGATTGAAGAGCCGATGCTGTGCCTGATCCGGGTAAGGCAGCACACAGGGACTTGGAGGTGCATCTCTGGGAAGGTGGATAGTGACCTTTGCGTTGTGAATGAAAGATCGTGGAGATTTCGTTGTCTGGATGGAGCCGCTTTCCTTTCTGGAAGTAGGTGTCCTTGGGTATTGAGAGGGGCAGAAGGAAACCCAGTACTTGGGTGCTGCCCTTTCCAAGTTTGCATTTCAGAGTTCTAACTTCAGTGAAGCCTGTAGCCTTGTTCTTTCCCGTTAACCCTTAAGCACCCAAGGCTTGTGGAGTTAGGAGCAATGGTGGGAAAACACCGAGGTGGAGGCAGCTTCCCTGGCAAGGCACTGTTTTCAAATGGAGATCATTAGGAAGCATCTTTATAGATGCGGCAGAGAAAAAGCAGGCAGGCTCTATCAAAGAAAACAATGTGTTAATAGCAGTTGTTTGGGTCATTACTTCATTAATTCTGTGCAGTTCCTCTCCTCCAAGTGATTGGAGGAGTTCTGGCTATAAAGAACTCCAGAGAAGGGGTGGGGGGAGGGAAACGGTCGTTAAATTTGCAATTGCCTTGTTGTGTTTTGACTATTCAGATGTTTCATCACAAGGAGAAGGGAAAACTTCAGTTCCTCACTCTTTGCCCATGTATAGGTCTTGTTTCTTGTTTGGTCAAGCGACCTCTCCCTCTCCCTGTAGCGACAGCTTTTCACACAGCATTCCATCTGAATAAATATTGTCCATAATAGTCACAGAGTACATGGTGTGAATTGGAGATTCTCCTTTATATGGGGAAAATAAGCGTGCTGGCGCTCTCCTGACAGAATGAGGGGCTGAACAGGGGTTCGGTACAACTGGCCGGGTTTTGCCCTGCCCAATAGACCAGACTGAAATGAAGTTGACTGAAGTTGATGCAGGCAGTGAGTGGTTTAACGTGACTCCTTCACACAGCTTTGGTAATAAGAAGTAATGTAGTATGTTGCTCTTCTAAGCCAAAAGGTGGGCATTGCAAAGACAGCATAAAATTTACAAATACTGAGGACAAACAAAATGTGAAATCAGCAGAGCCCACGACTAGTCTGTTTAGTCTTGTGTGCCTACTGTCACCTCCTGGCTTCCCTCTCCTTTAAGGTTCCTATAAATAATGAGGCCAAGTGCCCAAGACCTGTCTGTCTGCAAGGAGGAACCTGATCCATGTGCCTCAAAGTCTTCCTCTATGGGTTGGAAATGTATGCATTTTGTTAGAAGTACCTATCCTTCAAGGAGTTTAGGCAGTTCGTTAAATTGCAACTAATGTTTAGTGATACTTAGAATTAACCCATTAGATTACACAAATTGCAAGTAATTCTCCATTCCCTAACAGCAGACTGTACCTTAGCAGTTTTTATTAGGCACACCAGTCGACAGGTAATGTTGTTTGGGTGGCTGTGTCCTAAATGACTGACAGTAAGAATGAAGCTGGCAGAAATTCATGACCACATGAAGCAGAACACAGGACACACACAGAACCGTGAAAGAAAATCTGTCATTTATACAGCTGGTTCAATTACACCGCTATTTAATGTTTGATGTATTGAGTTTCAGCTTTTGATTTTCAATGTGTAAAACAAGAAAACTTCAAAGTTCTAATTTCTAACATGTAAGAATTTCTCACAATGTGGCTAATGCTGACAGTATTGACAAATACGGACAATGTTGACAAATGCAGATATATGCCTCCCACTGTTGCATCACTGGTAAAGTTTCTAATCCAAAGATGAGGCTGCAAGCTGGAACTTTGTCCCTTTGAAGGTGATGAAGGTTGTTGTCTTTTGCTATGTGTCTGCTAATTACAGCCCATGTGTTACTGGATATGTTCCTATTATTACTGCCCACCCCATCTTCACTTGTGGTGTCTTGTCTTCTTAATACCTCAGATAATTCTCCTATAAGTTGAAAATGTGTCTTGAGGATCACTCATTGAACCTGGCATGGTGGCACCAACCTGTGATCCCAGCATTTAGTAGTTCACGTTAGGAGACTCACTGCAAGTTCAAGTAGTTGGGGCTACTTCTACTTCAAAATAAATAAGTGAATGGATGATTTTTGAAAATCACTTGTAAGGGTAGTCCACGATCTAATTAGGAAGGAAGCAGGTGGCAGACTGGAAATGCTCAGACAAAGTTCCCCTGGCACCTTGAGTTCTCACGGTGACAGAAGCTCGCTTGCAGGCAGTCTGAGCAGAGGTTCGTTGTAGGTTCACTTTGTCCCAGCAGAAGATATAGTCATTCCAGATCCCAACATGCATTTGGCCACAGACTTTGACGTTTTGATGAAGTCTGTCAAGCCACCAGAAGGAACTGTGTTCTACAGTCTTGTTTGCTCTTGTAGTCAGATGCCATGGGGGAAAACTTTGTGCTGTAAAGTTTAACTTACCTCTCCAAGTTCTAATTTTTTAATTTTATTTATTCTTTTTAATATGTATCTGTGTGTGTGATGGGGTGGTCACATGCTGTGGCACTTCTGTGGAGGTCAGATGACACTCTGTGGAGTCTGTTCTCCCCTTCCCTCTTAATGTGGGTTCCAGGAAACAAACTTAGGTTGCCAAGATTGTGGGGCAAGTGATTATATCCACTGATCCTCCTCACCAGCCCACAGGTTTCTAAGTTTTCATTTGCTAAATTATCACATTGTGATGGACTCTACCCTGTTTTTGTATTTCTGACACTTTTGTTTACTTGACTAGAGTCCTGAGTCCAAGTATCTATGTCGTGATCATTACTCTCCTGAGCTAGTAATCATTGCTCCTTTAAAACTCATCTTCACCCTAGACAATGCGTTGCACAGTCTGCTGTCACCATGGATAATTTCAGAAAGTTTTTATGATTCATTTGTCTTTTACTTTTTAGCTGTGTCTGATTTGCTTAAGACTTTTTGGAGAAAATTACGTATGCTTGCTGACGTACTGTTCACACTCTCCAGCTACATAAGAGTTGTCTACAAGGCTCAGCAATTCTTTTGCTTGCCTCTGGCTACTTTCCTAGATAATCTCTTTAATCTCCAATCCACCCACTCCAGCCACTTCAGCTGTTCATAAAAATTGACTGTTCCGGCTTTCTCTCTGCCTGTATTCAGTCTCAGCACGTCTTTTTAGATTGTTGCAAGTTAACCCTCCCCTCCCTGCGTTCTTCTTTAGTTGCTGCTTTCAGGCTTTAACATATACTAGGACAGTCTGTGAGAGGCCTTAGAATCATTTTTCTTTTCCCAGAATGCTTGTTGCTCCTCAACTTTCACCTCAGATGTCAGTCCTTATCTTCAGGGTTCACCTGCAGTCCCCACTGTCCCAAACAACATGGCTGTGCCTTACTGATTTCTATGCTGTGAGTAACCAACACACATACACCAGAAACAAAACAAACAAACAAAACTACTCACTACAGGTTGAAGGAATGAATAATCGATTGTTTCCAGGGCTGTTGTTCCTGGGTAACTTCTCTTCTTTTTTTTCACTTACTCTTAGTCATTCTATATGTTTTGATCTCAGCATAGAGATCATTGATGGTGATAGATGCCAAGTAGAATCAGAAAAGGTTTGCTTGCCTGGCAGGGGCCATTCTTTTGGAAAAGTGGGACTAATGGTCATTTTACTGCTGAATGAAGCCCACTGATAACAAGACTAACGGGTTAGCAACTGAGTGAAGTGAGTGGGCTGCTCACAGAGAGGTTTGTGTCAAAGGATAGGTACAGTATGCAGAAAGTAGTAGTAGGTTCAAGTATGCAGAAAGTAGTAGTAGGTTCAACCACTCATTCTCAGGCTGTGGAGGTGGCTTGGATGGCCAAGTCTTTACCTTATAAGCAGGAGGCTTACGTTGCTCTATCCCCCCCAAACCAGATGTGGGATTCCAGTGCTGGAAAGCCAGAGACAAGCAAATCCTTGGGGCTTGATGACAACCCAGTCCTGCCTGTGTGGACAGTCCTAGGCCAGTCCAGTGAGAGCCCTTGTCACAAAATAAATAAAGAAAGGGAGGGAGGGAGGGAGGGGGAAGGGAGGAAGGAAGGAATGAAGGAATGAAGGAAGGAAGGAAGGAAGGAAGGAAGGAAGGAAGGAAGGACAGATGGCACCTGTGGAATGACACCCAAGATTGGCTTCTGGTCTCTACATACACATGCACACACATGAGCACACACATGAACACACACACATGAGCGTGTGCGCGCACACACACACACACACACACGCACACACTCCTCATCAAGAACACTCAGTAGCACACCAAGGAAACTGAATATCACCTATAAGAAAGTACTGTATTTTCAGATCACAGTGTAGCATGAGAAGGAAGTACTTGGTAGCTTGTGTACTGTGGCTTCAGTCCCCTAAATTACAAAGTTTTTATTTATTTTTTTTCTTAAAATCGAAAGCCTTGAAATGCAGTGTTGACATCACTTTACTATCAGCATAGGCTAAGTAGAGAAAATCCCCTGTTAATGAAGAATTAAGTATTAATAGTGGGGACTAAAGGAAGTTGACTTTTGGTAAAGCTGTTTAACTAATTTTGACTCTTCAGACTGTTTCCAAGTTTTTCATCCATTTATTGTGTGCACTCGATATGCCAAATCTTGAATTTGAGGAAATGAAGAAATTTGCCTCTTATTATTTTCATATAGTGCACTCCTTCCTCCACAAAGAGAGGAGCTTCAATATAGATGGGACCAAAGTTTATCTTTAAACAAACATCTGGCTCTAATGAAATGTTTAAATCCAGTATTTAAGACATGAATCTCAGAATTCTCTTAGGAAAATGTGACTATGTCATGGCGTCCTTCCTATTTCATCTTCCCAGGAAATGAAGAGTTCCCATCCAGCAATAATCAGATGTTAGCTTCCAAGTAGTGGAAATAAGGGTCAAGCTCCCACCTCTCACTTATCTGTTCTAGGCAACGGGATTTTTTTTATTTATGTCTTCCACTGGACAATGGCCGTAGTTATTATCTCTCTAAATGTTCTTTCATTTATATTCTTCACTTGAGTTGACCTCATATTATT